CTTCTAGAAGCAGTTAGAGGTTTTTCTTCTAGCTTTGCTTTTCTGTGGGTCTAGCTTTGCTTTTCCCTGCCTTTGCTCCCTAACAAATGCTGCTAACTCCAACTCAAATATTGATTTCCCTTCTGTCCAGGAGCTTTTGCCTCCCTTCTCCACCCTAGGCATGTAGTCTGCTCATTTATTTAAATGGACACTAGACATAAAGTAAAAATGTAATCTGCTTGCTTTTTAAAATTCTACATGAGGTAGTGCTTTTGTGACTGTCATAAAAGCCAACCAACCAGCAAATTGCATAGCTGCTTCTCCTAGAAACAGGAAGAACCTGTTGTTCCAGAAGCAATTCAGCTTGGAAGCTTCTATGTCAGTCCAAAAATCAGTGTATGCATATCTGTATAAACTTTACTATAAAGCTAAAGCTCAGACTTTGCATCACAGTCTCATTTTACCTCAGGATCAGACTTTGCATCACAGTCTCATTTTACCTCAGGATCAGACTTCGCATCAAAATGGGGAGGCAGGTAGGCATCTTTCAATTGCACTATTGCTAGTAATAGTTGCAACTGAGAACACAGCAGCATGTCAGAAACTCATGTCATGGAGTCATCAGACAGAGAATTAACAGGAAGATATCAGTGTATAGGCATTCATGTGACTCCATCTCAATTACAGCAGCTAAAACCTGGGATGCATTGAGGAATATGACACAAGCCATGTTCAGATGTACAACTAAGATGTGAAGGTGCTGCCTCAGCTGCAACAGCTGCTACTCTTCCCAGCTGTAACATTGGAAAACCCTTTTAATTGGATTTGGAAAAACTCACACAAATGAAGGATTGCTCAAAACATGTTTCCTCTTGCTCCTTACAAATCAGCATACTATCTCCCTGCTATAGAACACAATACTCTCTTGTTCTAATTTAGAGGAATCAAATTCATCAATACAGCACATATTTAAAGTACATTAATCAAGGAAGATTAATTTTGTAAACGTTTGAAATTAGGAACAGAGGTGATCTTTGGCATGAACCGTAAACATATTCAATGTATATTTCTATGAAGTTTGTAAGAAAATCTTTCCAAACTTGGTGCCCACCAGATGTTGTTGAGTTCAACTTTCATAGGTTCAAATATGTATAGCCAGTGGTCTGGAATGCTAGAAATTATAGTCCAAAACATCAGGAATACACTAAATTGTGGAAGACTGTTGTAAGAATTGGGGGCAAGGAATCTTACAAGTTTATACCTTCTTCACCTTAAATTCATTACCACTTTCATTAACCTCACGTATGGAACTACATGCTACATGCCACAACACTGCAACAGCCACCTTTATTGAGGATACAGAGGGGAACATCTGGAGCATAGGAATGGCAGGGAGGAAGAGGTATTTAACACCATGTTTATGTACTATAATTTCTGTAGTCATTTTTTCTATTTGATTTCAGACATATATTTGCAAGGGTACACATTTTTGGAACCCAGGGGAGGGGGCATTTTGCAAAAAGTGCAGCAAAAATGGGAGGAATGGTTAAACACTCCTGCCTTACCATGCATCCCTCTTTTCCAGTTCAAAGGGCCCTCCCTCAAAGCTGCCTGTAGCTCTTTCCTGAGTAGCATTTTACTGAGAGAACCAGTCAAACATTTGCACTAACACCCCAATCCTCTGTTTATTAAATGAGAATGCCTTTAACCCTTCTTCATTTCCCCTTATAAAACTTTGGTTTCCATGCTGAACAAGGCAGGGAAAATTAGAACTTTAAACTTTGGAAAAAGGCAATGAAAGGGAAACAAGTAATTGAGTAGCAATTTGCATTTTCTTTCTTTTTAAAAATGACCATATAAGCAATTCCTTGCTCTACAATTATAACACTGGAGCCCTTGCCTCTAAATAATTTAAAAACAAACTTTCAAAAACAGTATCAAAAGGTGCAAAAATGAGGGGACATTAATAATTCTTGACAGTGATGTCATAGAAAAAGACATCTGTCAACCCCTACTCCACATACCACTAAGTAATTTATTAAAAGAAAGTAACTCCATATTTTCCAATGGCAAAGAATTATGGTTTGAGTTCAGAGGAAATTCAATTTCCTCTCTTCCTCAAGAGAGATATCTGGATTCCCCACAGTAAAGAGGAAAGCTACTGCAAATTCATAAATGGTAAGATTTGAGAATACTTTGCAAAGTGAAAGGTTGATGGAGAGGGAAATGCATGATACATGTAATACTGCAGGAAGAGATATATATATGGGATACTGGATTGCCTGAGTAGATGCCCAGTTACTGATTGCTGGATACACCACACAGATTCCAACACATACTATCCAGATATGTTCTCACCATAGCTAGAAAATAAAAAAGACCAGAAAATTTGAATACTAGGGTATGCTAGCAGTAGCCCTTTCTGGAGAAGACAGGCCTTCTTGATTATACATGCACTGATGAAATCCAGGCTGCCCTAAAATAATTTGCTGTATGTAAAGTTGCTTTTGAACACTGTCTAGAACCTTCAGCTGGTACAGAATGTGGCCTTTGACTGTTGGTGGGAATGGTCAGATAATATATTATCCAAACAGTGCTGATTAAATTGGTTAGCAACGTATTTCTGAGCTTAATCTTACAAGCTGGATTTCACTTTTAAAGCCTTAGATGATTTGAGACCAATTTACCTGAAGGACTGCCTTCACCCATATCAGTTTGCCTGCACTTCTCATTTGCCAACCTTTGGGGGCAGTTAGGTAAGCGAATACATAAGAGCAGCCCAACACAGTGTGGTGTCACCACACCACTGGAACAGAATGCTTCTGATGGGAAGCTTTCAGGAATGTCCTGAAGAATTACTTGTTTTCCCCAGGCTTCCTGTGATTATGTTTATTGGACTGTTAATACTTATAGCTGGAATTCTGTTGTAGATTTTAATACTGTCAAGGTCAGATGTTTTATTGCTGAAGTTTGCTATTTTTAGGAATTCTTCAAATTTTATCACTGTAGGGATTTTTACTATGTGTTTTTATAGTTGAAAGCTACATTGAAAGAGCTCCAGCTCTGAAAGGTAACGAAGAAATCTTTTCAGTAATAAAAAATAAAAGTCTATTTTTATTTATTTAAAGCAATTATAGATCATTTTTTAATTTGTCATTCCAAAAATAGTGTAGTGCTGCTAAGTAAAAAACTGTTACTATCATAAGGCTTTATACAGTTGGAACTCTGTATAGTTGTGGTCACTGCACCTCCAAAAAATACAATACAATACAATACAATCTATAGACTTGAAAAGGGCACAGAAAATGGCAGTTGGAATGATCAAGGGGCTGGAGCAACTCCTCTATGAAGACAGGACACAACATTTAAAACTTCTTAGTTTTAAAATGAGCTTAGATAAATTCATTAAGGATAAGGCTATCAATGGCTATCAGTCATTTTGCCTTCAGAATCAAAGCCATTACTAGAATTCTTTAAAAGGTGCCCAATTTTCTAAAAGTGCATATGCATTGTCAGCAGATATGAACTTCAGGTTTCTGTGCTATTCAAATTTCCACAAGGCAAGATGGCCCAACAATATTCATTCCTTTATTTGAACACATCTACAAACAATGCATTGTGTGGTTTACAACAGGCCCAGCATATAGGATTATGGCTTTTTTATCATTCCTTTTGTTAGTGTATTTTTCCGCAGTCATGTCTGATTATTTATTCCACTACACATTTCAGTAGAATTACTATGTGTAGTGTATGAAATGCAAGTTTCCAGCTTTAATATGGAACACAAAACTATGCTCATCACAGGCCTGATCAAACTCATATAAAACATTTAACTCCCTGTATCTTAAATCTGAAGTTATCTACAATTAAATTCTCTTTTGTTACAACATAACATGGTTGATTTATCAGTTATGATCTCAAGGACATTTTATTTTCTCAGTAAACTCCAGACAGTTTGCTCAATTAATTTTTCTGTGTTTCATTTTTCTTATATGCAATAATTTAAAATTGCTTTAGATACCATCTTATTGTATGCCTATTCTAGAACTGGCCACAAAATCTACCAGTGCAAATAAGTTCTATGTTCTTTCATGCAACCTATCAATGGAAACAAAGACCAGCCTTGGAACACTCTATTATTCAAGCAGCTGTCTCAACCTCAAGCTATATTTTTTTGTATCAAACGATGCTTATTTCAGTGGTATGAAATGTAGGGAAAATGGATGCAGAAAATGAGAGTACATTTTGAAGAAAAACTAATATAGCAAAAATATTATGTACAACAAGAGAGTGAGAAACTGGCACTCCAGTTGTAAACATTTGCAGAATTGCATTTGTAATGACAACATAAAATCAGTGTATGTCTAGTATGTACCACCGCAGTTGTGAATATGCAACTTCCAAATGAGCCAACTGAAGATTGCTATGTGACATCTGAATTCAATACTATAGGTTAATCATAGGTTAAGCTACCCACAGTTAATGTACAATTAGTCGTTAGGTTAACTGTGAGTTATTTATTCCAAGATTAACGAATCCTGTCCACATTCAGATGTCACAGAGCAAACTTGAGTTGGACCTACTAGAGGCTGCATATTTAAAATGTTATCTACACATTAAGTAGCCCACAATTTACCATTATTATGTATGAACCAGGTTGATATACTGATTAGATATAATAGGTCCACCTCACATCTAACCATTAAAGCTTCACAGCAAGTCTTAATATCTAGCTACAAGCATTGTTCTTGTGGTAATCGTGGGATCTCATGCGTAAGAGTCTGAACAAAATAACTACTAGTAACTCCTCAGCTGAGACTATGCTAATCTCCTGAGCTAGGTTATAGAGGCACATTTATCCAAAATTAGTAACACATGAACTGTTAAGTAGAAACAATTTTAGTCAGAGAATATACTTTCAGCCATTATATGTATTTAAAATAGTGGTTTTTCCAAACATATTATCTACAACATTAAAGTAAAACAACAACTAAAAGGCTGCAGTTACATACTGTTCTTACCTGTAAGGGCAAGAGTGTGTTACTGTTGTTGTCTGTTCGGAAAACATTATCTTCAATCCATGATTTTGGAGTCAGTGATGGAGTAGAACGAGTAAATTTAGGGGGAGCTATGACATTACCAGAAAATGGCTTCTTTAAGGGAGAGATCTGGTTCATAGTTCCTGGAATGCCCATGTTTCCAGTTCTACGATGGTCTCTACCATGCATACTTCCCCAAGACATATTTCCTGTGCTCCATCCACTACTTTGATGATTGCTCCATGGTGACGGCTTCAGAAGAGGCTATGGTTGGGGAGAAAAATATTCCATTATTTTAAAATATTTCCCATGAAATTGGTATTGCATAGCCTGATCCTATGTATGGTTTATCAGAAATAAGTTCAGCAAAATTCACTGAGATTTATTCACAAGCAAGCAAACATAGAACAGTAGAAATACAAATGCTTCAATTTACATTTTCCAGATTATCACAATGAGATTCAGCACTAGAAACATAAAACAGTGATTTATCAAATCTAGTATATCCACAGTAGTAATATGAGAATAATATGGAAATGGAAATTGGGATTCTTATGAAGCAAGGACAACTAGCTCATAATGTATCAGATATACATTGAACAAACATAAGAAGTTGATTAAAGAGTTATTTTTCACAAGGTGAAAAGAATGAACACGTTGCACAGAGTAAAAATGTATAATATCTTTTGTGGCTTCAAAATATATGAAGTAAAATGGCTTGTCAATATACCAATATGAGAGTGCCTATAGCTGTGCATTAGATCAGTCAGCATAGTTAAATCAGTTAGCACTGAGTTTTTTAAAATGCTCACATTTTAAAGGAAGCAATGTGCTACTATAATATTATTAATGTTTAGATAAATCAAACAGCTCTCAGGAACAGCAAATAGCCTATTTCAAATCAAGTAATCTACAATTTTACAATTATTTCAATGTATAATATTAAAAAGGTGTGATGCATCTTGGTGATGTAGAGATATAAATAATTTGTTTAAAATTGAAACCAGTCTGATGGGATGATAAAGCAGGCACTAAAGTTCTAGAGAGTTTTAAATGATTAATTGGTCAGTCTTGAGCGCTTCATGCTGGAACTGCTGGTAAAGCGTGCATCCTAATGGAAACTAAAATGTGATGGTAAACGAAAATCTAATTTTAACAAGACTGTAAACTTTACTGCCCATTTAAGCTGACCAATAATAATGCATGTATTTATAAATGTAAAGGACAAATGTCACAAGACATGTTGTTTACTTTGGGAAATTGTTTTTGTAACTTTCTACATGTTCAAAGACAGATTGGATGATAAAGTTAAAAACTGTCAATCTATTTTAGTTTCCCCATTAAACATATACTGAGGAGGGGGCTGTAATGGCTGTTTTCTGTTTATAATAATACAGTTGGTTCTGCAGAGAAATCATAATAAAACTGAAAAACTGAATAGTGGGTGACATCTGACCTAAATCCATTTTCGACCTTCATACATAGTCACTAATTCTTTTGGTATTCTGTAAAATGGGGACAGCAGTAAGCTACTTGGCCAAGCTGCTCCAAGGTAAAACAAGACAAATATAGCAAGAAGCCTTTTGCATAAAGACTTCAGGAAAAATGTTGAAGATTAGGGGATAATCATATAGGCATAATACTAGAACCCAAGCAAACTAAAGTAGACTGTTCTGTGGGGCAAGAAGAATAAAACAAATCTGTTAGGAAAGAATACAGGAAAGTGTACACTTATCTTAATGTCACTATGTAGCAAAATAATCTCAAAGGGCTCAATAAAAAAGAAAAAAAAACTTCACACCCTTCCAGCCAATAGGAGAAAAGAATTTCAGCCCACCCATAAAGTAGCAGGAAGTCCTACATGTGGGAAGACTGGGGCAACCTGAAATACCACACCAACTTTTCTTGGCTTCTTGGGCTGGTTATGCAAGCTACTTAGCACACAGCTCAAAGTTGCAAAATAAAATGTAACCTGAAATTTCTTTCCACATCTATTCACAATCTAGATCAGAAGATACTTGGATTTAAGCTGCTTAGCCCAATATCCATTGGTCTATCAGATTTTAGACTACTTTTAATGGTAAATTCACTCAATTCTCGTAATATATGGCTTTAAAAAATAAGGTCAAAATAAACCAGTCAAGTAGGCATTTGCTTGAAATTGTATTCAAAGCTTCTCTTCAGTTTCTTATGCAGTTATGATATTGCTGATAATGCTATCAGATTAACTGTGAGATAAATCTATAAAAAGGAAAGCAAAAGAAATCCATAGATAACTGAAACAACAAGCTAGTGACTATCAATTAACAAAAACCAACTTCAAGTCATGTAATTCCTTGATTATCACAAATCTTTTAGGTTTCAATCCAATAACCATTTACCTGCTAGTATATTAATTCAGTGTAAATTTGTATAGTAGAATGGACTGCACTGTTAATACATCATCACGTTCAGATAGTTTAAGGTAGTATATGTAAGTCAATAGGATTGACAGAAGAGGATTACTAGCAAACAAAATGCAAGTAATTTCTTCTCAAACCCCATTCCTAAGATCTATAAATGCAAGTGATAAAATATGTGGGTATTAAAAGTCCACCATGTCTTTTCAGGTCATTACCAAATAACAAATATAGTTTCTTGAATTAAGCAGCATAAACCCAATGCAGACTACCTTATATGACAAATGCTGGGTCAGGTTTGGTCAGGTACATATTTATGTGTACTAAGAAGCAGTGATTGTATACCAGTGGGCAGACACTATGCAAACAAACAACTCCAAGATCTCCTACTCACAGTCACAGGATTCAGGATACTTATTTGTTTATTTAAAAAAAACATGTATTTACCACCCCCCATCTCATTTATGATTTCAGGTACGACCAAGTGCACCATACTACAATTTCACAGGTAAAAATCCTCAAACAGTTAAAATTACTATGAATTAAAATGCCTGCATAAAAAAGAATATTTTTGTCTGGTGTTGGAAAAAGTGCAGTGTAGAAAAACTCTTCAGGGAGAGTGTGTTCTATATCCAGGCACAATTGCTGAGAGAGCCCTTTCCTTTGTTGTTAAATGGTGTATCTTTGATAAAGGAGATATTTAAAACATTGATGTGCCTTCAATGTTGGAATACTGTCACTTGTGAAATGATCCTAGATCTCACCTCTTACATTTGTTTGTTTCCCTTCTACTACAACTAGGGAGCATCTGTGGGGAAAAAACATGTACATAGTCACAAGGGCTCCCTTATGAATCAGAAGGCCTGATGCTGTGGAGAAAAGCATACATTTTATCTATCCTCATCTCTCAGAAAAAGCTGGGCTGTCCAAAGAAGAGCACCTTGGGAGCCCCACAATGTTCCATGAGTCAGCGGGTAAAGTGTCACAGCTCTGACATTGCAAACACTGTATTGTTTGTGTAAATCTCCCTCCTCCCCCACTCCTCCTCAGTGGACTGATGCCTCAGTTCAGTTTCCTGTAGCCTCCAGTCCCACTCCTCTGCAATCAGCTCGTAAGAAAGGGCACTTCTCCTCTTCCTCCAAAATAAATCCCTGGTCCTGCGCTACAGCAGACGGGCACTGGCAACGTCCACCACCAAACAGGATAAATCCGTAAGGGAAAGGGGAAAAGCTGTTTTTCTTGAAACTAATAGGGCTAGTGCAAGGGAAGGAAATAGCTTACCACCAAAGCCATATTTTTATGGGTGGAGGAATTGAGAGAACGAGGTTTTTACATTTGGGGCAGAAATCATATCACAATTAAAAAAAAAAAAGCTGAAGGAGGTCTGCCTTCTCTTAGAGACACAGATCTTCCTCTGAACCCCTCCCCTTAACTTCACAAGCAGCCTCTCGCATGCGTTTAAATTTGATGTTAAATGGTTTCATTGCAGGTGGGCTGATGAGCGGCTTCGGGGAGAACTATTGGGCTGGGGAGCGAGAACTAATCCACGACGATGACACACACAGACACACGTACGCAGGCTCTGTCTTCTATTCAGACCAGCGCCACCCCGCCTCGGACGTGCGGGGGCTTCCCCAAATCACCACGGGCCCCGCCGGCCGGCCGGCCGGCCGGCCGGCCGGCCGGCGGTTTCCCTTTTCTGCCGGTACCAACCTGGTGGTGGTTGTAGGAGTTCCTCTGCTGGAGGAAGGCTGCCGCCGCGGCCGCCGCGGCCGCCTGGTGTTGGTGTTGGTGGTGGTGCTGTAGCTGAGGGCTCACCGGAGATCGCCGATTCTGCTGCTGTTGCTGCTGCTGCTGAGGTAAATTGATCTGAGGCGGCGGCGGCGCGGTCGAGAAGGGGCTGCCGAAAGGCCCGACGGAGGCGGCGTGAGTCGACACTGGCGAGAAGCTCTGGAAGAAAGCCGGGTTGATGGACGACGGGATCCCGCCGCCGGCGGCGTAAAAGCTGCTGCTGCTCTCTGACGACTCCGGGCTGGGCGGAGGGGCCATGGCGGCGCTGGTCACTGGAGGCGGCGGCTGCGGCGGCTGTTGCGGCTGCCCCGGCGGCGGTTGCTGCTGCTGCTGAGGCGGCGGCGGCGATGAAGTCTGTACCGACCACGGAGTGCCGAAACCGGGCAGCGGCGGCGGAGGAGGGGAAGAAGCCGCTGCCGAGGCAGAGGAGCCGCCCCCGCCGTGATGAGGGCTGGGGAGCTCGGGGCTCTGCAGACTGCTGAAGCCGGAGCCTAGCCCGCCGGGCAGGAGGTTCCCAGCGCTGCCCAGCAAGTGGCTGTTATTGGGGGGAGACTCCATAGGGAAGCGGGGGGAGGGAAAGGCAGCCTCTCCTCCCTGTGGCCTTTAAAGCCCGCAGGTGTGGGAAAGGAGGGGACAGAAGCCGCCGGTTCACCACCTAGCAGCAGCGACAGCGGCGGCAGCAGCAGCAGCAAGAGGTGGCGGCGGCGGTGGTGGAAGAGGTGGTGACGGCGGCGGCGGCGGCAGCAGCGGGCACCACATTGAGGTCCGCCGCCAAAGCGAGCAAGACAGCGAAGTTACACCGGTCGGGGCTCCTCTCCCTTAGCAAGGGCGGCTGGAAGTCCCTCGGGCTGGCGGCTTGAGGAGGAGACGGAGAAGACGACGGAGCCTCTTGCCAGCGGGGCGACTGAGCGGCTTCTGCTTCGGTGTGGGGAGAAGGGCGGTGGTGAGGATGAGAAGAATCTTCAGGGTGGTGGTTATGTTATTCAGGAGGTGGCTGCTTCTGGGCAGGGCAACAGCTGCTGGAAAGTCCGTCTCCCTCTGTCTTAGCTGGAAGAGGCCGTCGCTGTTGCTTGAGTACCAACTTCCAGTCACCCTCTCCTAGCGGAGAACGGGCCGTACAGTCAGCTGGGATGATCCCCCTTCGCACTCCTGAAGCAGTGGGGGGGGGGGCAGTTGCCAGCCACCCGCCCGCTCGAGCCTCTCCTTTCCCGGCGGCAGCGGCGGCTCCTGCGAATGTCAACCCCAGAAGTAGCTCATGTTTTGATGACGCGGGGAAGGCAGAGCAGAAACAGGAGGCGGGAGGCGGTAGCCGCAGTAACGACCACCACCTCTTGGATAAGCTGCTGCTTCTAGAAGAACCGGTTAAAGTGGCTAAAAGGGCAAGAATGAGGAAAAACTGCAACGATGACAAGAGAAGGGAAAGAGCTACAAAGGGCAACACCTCCTCCACCAAATTAGGATTCCTACCGGTGCTGCTCAGATTTAATTGTCCCAGTAAAAACAAAGGACGGACACACACACTAAACAGCTAATCCTCCCGCAGTGGATCGGACCTTAAAGTACCCACTGAGGGCAAAGACTGACTTTCCTTGTCAATAAAAAAAACCCGGTCTGGTACAAGATATATCGCTCAATGAATTTGCTTAAAAAATAGGATTTTAACAGCCCCCCCCCCTTTACACACGCGCACACAAATCCTGTCTATGACAAAAGACGACCTTCAAAGAGTACAAACTGTTCAGAACAGCTAGCCAAATATTTTTTTAAAAAAACTTTTCATTAGTGTATTCTCTTTTAGAGTTCCGCAGCTGTTTGTGATAGATGGCTACTCTAAAGAATAAATTTTTTCATGTTAGTAAAATACGTTTTGGGACCAAAATTATCCTGTACTAATAAAATAGCTCCTAATTTGCTAGAAAGAAATCGCTTCCTAATAACAAAGATTTGCCTGTAGGTCAGCCCTATACAGTAAGAAAAATACCCCCCCTATCTGGTTATTAATAATCTCTCGCAAAAATCTTCCGTCGCTGCTTCCATGTTATACTATCCTGGCCCTATAAATCACAGTTCTCTCCTTCTCTCTTTCAGTTTCTGAGCAAAAAGAATGGAGACTCCACGCTATCTCTGCTTCGTGCAATATTCTCTAATTTTGGAGCCTGGTTTGGAGCTCTGCCTTCCCCATTAGCAGCGCCCGAGCCTGCTGCAACGAACACATAAGAACCCCGGAACTGTCGTCACTGCCGACACACATCACAATCCCACCCCTCCTCCCAGGCCTGTCAACGTAGTCGACACTTCATAAGGCCACGTCTCCTTATTAATAATTCATAAGCGGTCCCCTCGATCTCCGACTCGTCCATCCCCGCCCCTTGAAGGTCGGCTCTTCCCGATTCGTCTCCCGCATTACAAGTGGACGATACCACTTCATATTTCCCCTTCACACTGAGCTTATTTAGCAAAAGTACTGTATATTTAAATAGCGATTCTGAATTTTAATTGGGGGGGGGGGAAATATACTGGTGCCCACGGAAAATTAAAGATGTGTTATCTCGCTATGTTTGGAAGGCGGCTGCCAAATAGTCTTCTTCCTCGAGCGACTCCTCAACCAGCGCCCCTAAAAAACACCTCCATTTGACGTTCTTAGTAGATTTTTGCGACGCTCACGGTCCCGGCTCGTCATTCGTTTTGCGACGTTATCAATCATCCCGAGCAGGGGAAAGTGAAACCTGAAACCAGGAGGCTGGTGGAACCCAGGGAGAAGGCGAAGGTTAAATGGTCGAAGGTTTTAATCCGCTGGCTGGCAAGATGACGATTCCGGCTGGTAATAATGTCATTTCCTCACCTCCTTCTCATAGAACCAATGTATACATTCGGGAGAATGGAAGCAGTAAAGCTTTGCCTGGACTTAACGACTTCTGGCTCGGAGAGGGGCATTTTGCTTATTAGAATGCACGCAAAAATAGAAGACAACTTCGAAACGATATCCTGTGAACGGAGGTTAACCCTTTTCTCTGACAGGGCACTTTGTATGTGCAGGACCTTTTAAAATACATGAGTAGGCATTCAAACGTGAGGTGCTGTTAAACTCTTGCAACTCTTCCATCTTTCACTCAATGGATTTTTAAATTTTATTTATTTATTTGGTGCGAGGAGAAAAAAAGATGGAAGAGGTGAGAAAACACCGGAAAGATTGTCTGGAAGCATTCCTGTAGTTTGAAATAGGAATATATGATCATTAGAAAAACCATGCTGGATTAGATGGGAGGCCATCTAGTCCAGCGTTCTGTTCACAAACCAGCTATCCTTGGGAAACCAACAAGCAGGGCATGAGGGCAACAGAGATCTGAATGTATAAACCTCCCAGTTTCCCAACTTCTATTTCAGAACACAAGCTATTCTCCCTTATTATGCAATGTGTCCAAAATATGTCCCTGCAATGCAGTTGTTCAAAGGTTGTAAACACATGCTCCCCCCACCCCTTAGAACTAGGCAGTAATATAGCTGTTCTGTTTTGCAATGGATGGCATTTTGAAGAAGCCTTCAAAAGCTGCCCAAAATGTTTTGTGCCATTAAATCAACTTTGATTTAAGGCAATCCTATGAATGAAAGCCCTCCAAAATGTCCTGTCCATGTCAGCTCCATTTAGCTCTTCCAAGTTCATGGCTATGGTTTCCATTAGGGATTCAATCCATCTCGTATTTGGTCTTCCCTTTCATCTTCTCCCTTCGAATTTCCCTAACATGATTGTCTTCTTGTGATTGCCTTCTCATGATATGTCCAAATATGGCAGCCTCACTCTTGTTTCTGGGAAAACACTGGATTGATTTGATCTAGGACCCACTTGTTCATCTTTCTGTTGGTACAGGGTATTTGCAAATATCTCCTCCAGCACCATGTTTCAAATGCATCAATTTCCTTCCTATCAGCCTTCTTCACTGACCAGCTTTCACTCCCATACATTGTGATTTATACAATAGTTTGGATGAACTTGACTTTGCTTTTCAGTAAAACATCCTTACACTTGATGATCCTTTCTAGTTTCTTCATTGCTGCCCTTCCACGTCTCAGTCTTCTTGGCTGCAATCTCCCTTTGAATTGATGACTGAACCAAGGTATATGAAATATTTCAGTTTCAATTTCTTCATTACTACCAGTAAAGTTGTGTAATTCTTCTGTGGGTATGATTTTTGTTTTCTTAATATTCAGCTGCAGTCCTGTTTTTGTACTCTCTTCTCTCACTTTTATCAGGAGGCATTTCAAGTAATTGTTGCTTTCTGCCAGTAGCACGCTATCATCTGCATATTTAAAATAAAATTAGTGCTGTTTCTTCCACCAATTTTCACTCCTTCCTCTGATTTTGATCCAGCTTTCCTTTTGATATGTTTTGTGTTCAGATTAAACAGATAGGAAGATAAAATACATCCTTGTCTAACACTTTTGCTTATGGGAAAACATTCTGTTTCTCCACCTTCTGTCCTAACTGTAGCTTCTTGTCTGTGTTACACATCAGGTCAATCAAGTGCTGAGGTACATCCATTTCTTTCAGGACCATACAATGCTTGTGATCCACAGTCAAAGGCTTTGCTGTAGTCTAAAAATGTAGACTTGATATGGATGCTGTACTCTTTTGTATCTCCTTTCTTGTGGACTGGAATCTATATGGAACTTTTCCAGTTTGTGGGCCATTGTTTTGTTTTTTGCATTTGTTGATATTTTATATATTATATATTGATAGAAGTTGGACAGCTTCATTTTCTGCAGCTTGGAATAGTTTTATTGTTATCCTATCTACTTTAGGGGCTTTATTCTTTATGAGTGCTTTCAGAGCAGCTTTCAGTTTGCCTTCTAATATTGCAGAATCCTCTTCTTCTTCAAGCAAAGTCTGTCATCTTCTGTATTCTTCTTTGCACCTTCTGTATATTCTTTGTACCTTCTCTTTATTTTGTCCTGGTCAGATAGTATGTTCCCAGTTGGTCTTGCAGCATCTAGGTTTGAATTTCTCTTTGATTTTTTGGATCATCTGGAAGAGGTTTCTTGTTTTTCCTCTTTTTTGCTCTCTTCTGCTACAATGCATTGCAGTAATTTCCAGATGGGATGTTACTAGAGCAAGTATAACTGTGTTCAGTCTGCCTTTTTCCAGCATGGGCCAGAGGTGATGCATCAGGCTTTCTGATGGAAGGTGGCTTTTGCTATGGATACCACTTTGGCCTTTAAAGCTAAGCCTGGTTTTTAAACCACCCTTTGCTAGTACGGCCTTTCATAAGATCATTTACTATAGCATGGACTTTTATGGCTTTGTTAGATCTTAGGAGCCTATACTGATTTTGCTTGAAACCAGCTTAGCCTATGATGAACGCTATACCTCTATGATTTCTTATCAACCTGTACAAACCTAAATAAAAAATATTGCAAAGCCACATTGGCACTGTTTCACAAGCATCAGAAAGCTGCTTTTCTGAATGAAAACTGATGCTTGTATGCATAGAATGTATGCTTAACTCTAACACTTTTACTCCTAACACATCAGTCCAACATGTTTGCAGTGCTATTCTATGCATTACTGTTAGGAAGTAAGTAGCATGCAGTTCACTGAGACTTATAACAGGCAAGGATAAATAGGTTTGACTATTTAGAATGTGTAAAAGTAAGAGTTACCCACTCTCAAAAAAGCCCATCCTATTAGGGTGTTTCTACGTGAGGAACTTGTTGTGTGCTCATCATTTCTTACTTATGATTTTGATAGGAACTCTAGATAATGTCATCACCCTACAACTTCCCTTTTATGTCTAATAAGCATTTTTGGCAAGGTTTTTTTAGAAGGGGGAAATGCAGCATTTAACTGTAAAGGTGAAGCTGGTTTTTTACTTATGTAAAGTATACTTATTTGCATTATTTTGCTATACCACAGTGCCACTTAAAGTGAAAAAGCAGGAAAGGAGATGTTCTATCTACTGACTGCCACCTCTGAGGATGAAGTTTTAATTACTCCCAATGTAGTGCAGAATTGCCTAACTGTAGAGGAAAAGTTCATACACAGAAGAACAAAGCCTGTGCAGGGAATGATTTTAAGTCATAGCCAAAATGGCCTCCCCTTTTCTCATCCCATTCACAGCCAGCAATATTGTGGGGTGGCTTTCAGAAAGCAAAGCAGGTGGACTGACTGACAGTACCTTTGGCATTCATGAGGTGGTGGCTGCTGTCCCTAATCCCTTTGCACAAATCCCACATAATCATATAGCATTTCCCCCAGGGCCTTTCATTTATTTATTAGAATTCTATCCTGCTTTTTTCTTACAAACTCAAAGCAACTTACATCATTCTCTTCCTGCTGCTTTCAGTCTTATCCCCACAATGACTCAGTGAGGTAGGTTTGGCTGAGAGTCTGTAACTGGCCCAAAGTCACCCAGTTGGCTGCATGGTTGAATGGGGATTAGAACCCAGAATGCTTGAGCCCCGTGTTCTTAATCACAACACCACTACAGGAAATGGTATCTCTTAACAGAGGCAGTCAGGATGTTATGCTATGCCACTAAGGCAAGTAGAAGATGGTTTTTACTTCCTTTTGGCTCTTTAACACCTCAAATTTCATGTGGAAAGGGGCATCTCAGGCTTGGAGGAAGGTTTAATCAGAATCCTAAACTATTCCACTTCTGGCCTCTACAACAGTAGACTATTATGCCAGCAAAAAAGATTGCATAGGTTAAAGCACACTTGACCCAATGAGAGCCAAAAATCATTGTCTTCCTACATCTTAACCAATACAGGCACCCTGGAGCAGGAACATGGCATTTCAACTAATTCTGCAGCCAATCAGCGTGCCCACAAGGGTATATAAACTCCTACAAAGCAGTCTTTAACTCAGTATTGCAAATGTTCAGAGTGCTGATGGAGAAAATCGACACTGTGACAACTCCCTGTAATACAAATTCATTATGGATGCATGGCAGACACTGCCTACTTGCTTTCTCTTTTCTGTGATAGTGGTGTTTCCCTTTTCTGATGTAAATTACCCAGGGAGTGGATGGTGAGAGGTAGTAATTACTTTCAAATATTGAGTCTTAGGGTGGGTACAGAAACTACAGGTGTTGCATTTTAAGAGTAGCGGGACTTGCTTAAAAGCATCTCCACCATGTTCAGTATCTAAGGG